CAATAGAATCTACTGAAATCTACGGAAATAAATCAGGTGTTAGTCCGAAAGACATCTTCTAATCAAGTAATGCACACGGAGCTCCGGAGAATATTTTTGAGGCGTATTCAACCCACCCATCCACCCAACTCCGACCGCGAGACATGCTGATGTGTTTACATCAAACATTGTCTAACCAAATGTTAAATGATTTATGTACTTTGTTCCAAGGTACTTTCTTCCACTACCGTGGGTACAAAATGTCCAACCACAGATGCTGTGTAGTCGTGCACTTGTCCACCACTAATTAAACACATCTAATACTTCAGCATATCATTAGGTACTATATCAAGCAGATTCAAGGAGTATCTGGGAATTAAATATACATTTGAAGTTATTTGCGAGGCTGGATTCACATTGGCGGGGCTTAGTCATCCAGGAAATAAACTACGAATAAAATAGATGTCTCTTAATCTAAATACCATGTGATTTTGAATAGCTTTTCATTTTCAAGAAAACTCGCCGCACCACAGATAGGACAATTAACCGGTCGTATCCAACGAGATATGGTTGACATTTTGCCACCGTAAAATACCAAAACAAATCATGTTTTCCGTATGGTCACTCAAATTACTCTTAGATAAAATGTGATAATGAAAACATAACACAATAACACATCGATAAATATTTGACAAAATACACATGTTAATCTTCGGATATTAACAGTCAAGAATTTCAACAAATAACCGTAGTCCAGCAAAAAAACAAGTCAATCAAATCATCATTAAACAAAAATCACAGGAATAAAATTTGAAAAAATAGGAGTTATTTAATAGAATTCATTATCTAAATGAGTTTTTAAACCGAACAGAGTTACGATAAATGCGTTTTAAAGGTTAATTACTGCTTATTGACAAGTGTTGCTGATTAAGCTCCAAAGTTGTTCTTACTAGCCGATCGATGCTCTGCATTGTGCTACCTGGGGTGAAGTCTGAAGGACAGTCAGTTTCAATTATCCTATGTCACTAATGATAACTAACTGTGAGCTAGATGTAAATTACAATGTTTAGTGTTTATACAATACAAAATACAAACATATTATAGAAAGTCGAGAGTTCTATGACAACTTTTTACTTCTGCTTGTCCTCTTTTACCGGATTCTTTCACCCCAACATGGTTCCTTTTTAAATCACATCGACGAATAAGTTGATAACCTCACTACGGAGAATTTTTAAAAGCTAAGAAGGTAAACAATGAAGAATTTAAACAGGTGGTGGAGCCATCAGTAAAATGACTGTAGCAATTACGCGAAAAACCGGCAGATTACATTTAATGTGATTTGTAAACAGCAGTCACCAATCGGAACTTTGCCCCCTGAACGATACACGTTTAATTTTAGATCGATGAAATCGTCTATCGGACTCGCGCGCAAAACACACCGGGAACTTTGAATGAGGTGTTGCACTGCTGAAAAATTGGATACCGATGCACATTTGGCTAGGCCCAGTGCATCTCAGCTAGCGTGATATCGGAACTCAAAACCGGACCATAACAGTCAAGTTTATAGGGCAACAAATTGGATCCCATCAATGAGGTATGCAAACTGAACTCCCGAAAAGTTAAACGGGAAATGGATAGACACACAACATCGTCTCTGCTGTTATGAAGAGGTTTGTTCACCTCACGGACTACGCTTACTCGGGGTCAGACGGTGCCTATTCTCTGGTGGATGTCTTTGACGTTCATGTGCGTTCGACAAAGATTGGGATTGAAAACCCCAAAGAACAACAATAAATTACAACCAGGGTGGCAGTTTTGTTTCAGTTTCAGACTGATTTCAATTGAAAAAAAAACAATACACTATGTATTCGATACCGATAGGTTGATCGAGATCATGTAATTGAATTTGTTAAGGATTCACGACCGAATCCTCGAACCAATTGACGACTGAAGCTCAAGGCTGTGGTTATGGCGTTCAATTAGTTGCATCTGGTGCCCTTTACAAACGATTCCCATGATCCGGTTGTTGGATATTTCCCTTTTTCAATCGAACTAATCACCGTATAGATTCGGGTGTTCTGTAGACAATTCATACGGTCAGTAACAATAAATCTCCTTTTCACATACGCACACACACATATACAGGCTAGCTTGGTTTGTTGATGAATCTGGTCGTGCATAGAGCAAGACATATGTATGTGCACGGAAAAGCTCTGAAGCAATGCACAACTATTTTTAATGTTGACCGGGACTTATCAGCTCGGCCAATCAACAAATCCAACTGGAGAACGAACTCGGGACTTCACATGTGGAACACAAGCATACTAGCTGATCAGACCGCATATCATTTTGCCTTTAGGTGATATAGGACAAACCATCCTTACGAGCTTGTTACGAGCATCACATCTTTCTTATGTCTATACAGGCCTCCAGGGCTATGACTCGGTTGCGAAACATTTCGAACACGACTGTGTTACATAAGAGATTGACGGAGTTGACTCGATTGTACAGTGAATTTCTCTGGTGTACAGGACAAACGAAGCGGTGATCGTCAAGTGGATCGTTTGCTTCCGCTCTATCTGTGAAGTCTCCTACTTGATCCTGAGTTTGGTCGAGTGATTTGCACTACTGATGAACCTCAATCAGTTCAAAACAGCTGTTTTAATTTGGTATATTCTCTCTTTATTATATACAGGTTGCATTCCTATTGAATCGTTTATTGATCTCAATCAGCATTTTGGACTATGGTCTGTCTTCATTCACCTCCCATTGATTATATGTATGCGTGCGTGCGTGCGTGCCTGATCCTTGCACGTGGTTTGTTTACTCCTCTCAACTGATTTCAATCGCCTTGTGATTGGTTGCAACTCTTTGCCCAGCCTTTTCCTTTCTCAGGTCCTCACTTCGGACGTACATGGTGGAGAGCATAGTCGAGCCCATTCAAACCACTCTTAGTTTTGCTGTTCACCCAAACAACTAACTGCAGTACTGTTTTTTTTTCAGTGTTCGAATGCAACCTGTAAGAACTCTCCACTCCATTCCGGGTAAACGATTTGTCAACTGAAGCGTCTATTCTCGGTTGGTCTACTTATTTTCTATAGACCCGATTCCCAGCTCCCAGTATAGATTGTATTGTTAAATATCTGAGAACGACAGGCTGCTCCCAGTCCACTAACTGTTCTCACTTTGGCTTAGTTTCGATTGGGATCACATTTAATTTTTAGCTGGTCCAAAGTTTGGCGGATAACTATCAGTAATTGCATGCGTACTTGTGGTGATCGTGCAACGAGTAAGAAATCACCACAGTACAGCTTCCAGGTGGCCAATCAGGAAAGACCTTTCTCGAACAGCCCAGTGGTCTCAAATGGCATCAATTGGATTGGCTAAATGTAAGAAGGCAAACAAATAAACCTTATCGTTGTCGACTGGACATTGAAGAATCAACCCATGATTGTTTTATGCTCGTGACATTCATTTGCATGATTTTCCGAAGAAAATTAACTGTATCCACAGCTCGTCTTGGTCTTACCTGACTTTGTACTATTCAGTGGGTTTTAAGTTCCAATCCGAGTTCGCACCAATCGATCCCGATTTCTATTCCGAGTACTATAGTTCTTGTAATGAAAAGTTCATCCACGCTCTGCAATTCGTTTTCTTCTATGGGTTAGCGCCTGAGATTTTGTCGGTTTGGTTTATCCAGTATCAACAAGCATCATCGTCGGGCCGTTCTACTCACTCAGTGAGATTGGTTTTGTTGCCTAACAAGTTTATTCGCTGCACTCCGATCCTCATCACGGTGAACAACACCACGACAACTATCTCGATAATCGCCATCGCATTATCATCATAATACAATACGTGAAACATAATTTCCCTTGTTTCTTAGCAAAAACTGTAAGCTTTTGACTGTTTCGGAGCGAGGTAAATACAGTTGATCCTTTTCGTCCATTTCACAAACGAATACACACGAATACAAGAACATTCATTCACATAATACGTGTTCATCTGTTTAGGTAAATAAGGGACGGGGACGAGATGAGGCGGGGCGGGGCGGG